TGGCTTAAGTCTTGGTGCAGGAAGGAGGGTTTGGGGTTTTTAGATCACTGGGCCGACTTTGCGATTTGGTACAACCTTTATAGTGGTGATGGATTGCACCTAAACGGGAGAGGGCCTGCAGTGCTGGGGGATAGGATGGCTAGAAGGTTGGAGAAGATTTTAAACTAGTAGTAGGGGGGAGGGTCATAGCAATCTACAAAATGGAGATAGGACAGAAAGGAGATGGGCTTTAGCACAGTATAAGGGGGGTGTTGACGGGGGGAGGGGTAAGCTCAGAACAGAGAAGCTATGTAATGATGATATTTCACAAAATATACAAGTGACGCATAATATTAAATCTATGCTTACTAATGCAAGGAGCCTGAATAACAAAATGGGGGAACTAGAGGCATTATCATCCACTAAACAATATGATATAATAGGCATATCTGAAACATGGTGGGATGAGACACATGACTGGGCAGTTAACTTAAATGGGTACATGTTATTTAGGAAGGATAGGAAAAACAAGAAGGGGGATGGGGTATGTTTGTATGTCAACCATGATTTAAAGCCAAATCTTAAGCAAATGGAATGCGATGAGGAAAATGTGGAAGCTTTATGAGTAAATATCTGCTTTGAGGAAAAGAAGGAAAACCAACTATTGGTTGGGATATGTTATAAACCACCTAATGTTAATATTGACGAGGAACAACAGCTGTTTGAGCAAATTGAGAAAGCTGCAAATCTGGGTAACACTTTAATTATTGGAGATTTTGATTACCCGGACATAAATTGGGACAGAGGGACTGGTAGCTCAGCAAACGGAATTAGGTTTTTAATCTTGTTAAATGACACCTTTATGTCACAACTTGTACAAGCACCAACTAGAATGGACACTTGTCTGGACCTGGTTTTAACAAACAACGTTGATCTTTGGACCAACATTCAAGCAGTTGAGCACTTGGGAAATAGTGATCACAATATAGTGTTCTTTGAAATAAACTCAAAAAAACAAAAGCACATGGGGTATACTAAAACATATAATTTTAAAAAGGCCAATTTCAATAAGTTAAGGGAAGCTTTACAATATATTGACTGGCCTAAACTCTTTAGTGAAAAGAACACTGAGGATAAATGATCATCTTCCAACAAATATTAGAAAGGTACATTTCTCAGTATGTACCATTGGGAAATAAATATAAAAGAACCAAATTAAAACCAATGTGGCTTAGTAGAGTAGTAAAACAAGAGATTCAAAACAAGAAAAGGGCATTTAAAGCATTTAAATCGGACAAATTGGATGCATCTTATAAAAGATATAAGGAAGCAAATAATGCTAAACTTCAAAACGAAAAAATGATAGCTAAAGAGAGCAAAACCAACCCCAAAGCATTTTTTTATGTACATAAATTCTAAAAAACCCAAAAATGAAAGTGTATATGATAACATTATACAAATATATTCGGGGCCAATACAAACCATTGTGTGGAAATCTATTCACAAACCGGACTTTACATAGGACACGAATCCATGCGTTTAGACTGGAAGAAAGAAGATTTTGTCTAAGGCAAAGGAAAGCTTTTTTTACTGTAAGAACAATCAGGATGTGGAATTCTCTGCCTGAAGAACTGGTTTTATCAGAGTCCATACAGATGTTCAAACAGCTACTAGATGCATACTTGCAAAAACAGAATATTCAAGGATATAATCTTTCAATGTAGGGTAATAACTGCTTGATCCAATGATAAATCTGACTGCCATTCTGGGGTCAAGAAGGAATTTTTTTCCTAGCTTGTTGAAAAATTGTGCTTCAAACTGGGTTTTTTTTGCCTACTTTTGGATCAACAGCAAAAAACAAATGTGAGGAAGGCTGAACTTGATGGACGCAAGTCTCTTTTCAGCTATGTAACTATGTAATAAACCAATATTTATTCACAATCTTCTTAAGTTCTTTATTTCTTCCTGAGAAATCAAAAATGAATGGGACCTCATTAGTCTTATTTTCTATACATTTATTCTTCTCTTTATCATTCCTTAAAAGATCTTTCCTATTAAGGATCTTCGTTTCCTCAAATGCTTTATCTAGTATGGATTTTGGGTAGTGTTTAGCTGTGAAGTTGCTTGGATTTCATAGGAACAATAAAAATATTTAATACATATAGAATATATAAATATATACATGAAGATTTTTAACTGCTTCTCCTTTTTTCTTTCTATTGGTCACTTCTCACTCGGTCTGTAATAAAATAAACATTTAATGACTGTTACTTTTGGTTCTGATTGCTTCTCACTTGATTTGTGAAATAAATCGCAGAAAAATGCACCTATTTATAAGTATTTCTATTTTGCAGTACACTGGTCAATTTTCATACATTTTCATTGGTCCAAATAGTTTTTTCTGAATTGTTTGCATGGTCAAAACTCATCTGAAATGCCATACGGAGGAACTTCAGACTCCGTGAACTGGGAAAAAGAGATTATCCCAGCAGGCTGCGAGAAAAGGCCATGTCTATATTGCTGCCTAATGCTTCCTGTTTGCAGTCCTGCAAGAAAGAATGGCTGGCGTTTGGCATATCCATTTTCAGCATGGTGAAGACGAATGCTCCCCATAATCATGAGGGTAATGCTGAGTACTTTTTTAGATACTCTTAGAATATTTTTTAATTAAACAGTCAAGCAGACAAATACATTGAAATATTTACTATATCCTGAAATCTTATATATTTTGCAAAATAGACTACAAATTATCCAATGTTTGTAATAATCTATGGAGTAACGAGACGTTAAGTGGAAGACCCAATCTAGAGGTAATAGAGATTTATAGCCCACTACTAAAGTTGTTCTTGATTTATTTTTATTTTTAATTTCATTATTTCATGCCACTTCCTCTGCCATTAATTGAAGATTTTGTTCTCAAATGTTTAGCTATTGTGGCTTTTTCAATAAGAAATTTACATCCTAATAATTTTATTACACTAAACTTTCCTTTGTGCTCCCATGTTAACAAGGAATAATTGAAAAGCTAGGTATAAAAATGTTAATTGATTTTAGAATTAATTTCTTCCATGACGCAACCCATGTAAATATATTAAAAAAAACAAAACACAGTAATTTATAGAGCCGGGTGTCGATAATTTATCCAACAATATAGTAACACATTCACAGGAAGATACCATACTGTGATCATTCATAAAGGGAATTAGAACATAACTTTAAGAAGATTATGAAAATATGAAATGCTAGTTATTTTGGGATCAAATTGATTTGTTTATAATACCTGTTGTGTTCAGTATTAATTGTCAGTATATCTTTATTAGAAACCAGCAAGGAACTATCACAACGGAATTCAAATAATTAAACTATCAAAACCAGTAAGTATGACATATCAGTAATCAAAAAAATAATACATGAACATGAATTGTGTTTTTCATACATAAATATTTAAAATTGACCTTCAAGTCACAAAAGTAGTATATGGTGTAGAATATTTATAGGATGTCTCAAACCTAGACATTAAAGGGACACTCATGGCATTAATACTACTTCAATGCATTTGATAGGTTTTGGCCTCATTAATATGCTGTATTTTTTGCATACTCAAATCTTTACAGTTTTTGCATAAAAAAAATATGTTTCATGGAATGTTGCACCATAAGTTCGCCTCTTTAGCCACACACCCTCACTCCAGAAAGACGCTCTTATGAAGGGTATGCAGGTATGTACCTACCAGAAATGGTGAGGAAGACTAAACTTGATGGACGCAAGTCTCTTTTCGGCTATGTAACTATGTAACCGGCGTCAGGGTCATAGGCACCCAAGGCTCATTGATGCTCGTGGGGAGCAAATGCTAGCCTGTATGGACTGATCTCACAGAAGAGCTGCTGTAGCTCAAACTGATAAAAACATAATGCTGGCCATGATAGCAGGGTGTCAGAACACATAGTGCATCACAGTTTGCTACACATGGTGCTAGACTGATCAGAGTGTCCATGATGACCGCTGACCACCATGATGACCGCTGCCTTGGCCTCCAAATTCCTCAGATCTCAAACTCATTGAGCATCTGTGGGATGTGCTGGAAAAACAAATTTAATCCATGGAGGCCCAAACTTACAACTTGCAGGACTTATAGGATCTGCTACTAATGTCTTGGTGCCAAATACCACAGGATACATTCAGAGGTCTTGTGGAGTCCATGCTTGAAGCAGAAAAGGTTGATTTGTCTGCACAAGTGGGACCTACATAATATTAGGCAGGTGGTTTTAAAGTTGTGGCTGATCAGTGTATAAGACACTCTTGGTCTTTTCATATTTGGTAGTGTCATAACAATTTTTACTAATACATACTTGTGACAGACCCTCTGTACCTGGATTTGCAAAGTTATGTTACCCTTTCGCCTATCCGTTCGACCAAATACAGCTATGCCCTATATCACCATTGTCCATCTGACTGATGAAAGAACTACCGAACAACTGACCACCTAGATGCAGAGTGTGGCACTTGTTAACTTTATTGACCCCTCCTAACACCTCTAAAATCGCAAACACCCCAACGTTCTAAGCGGTCGACTGGGTGGTCGGCATTCGTATGCCCGAACATGTGGCGGCGGCCATCTTGGAATATGAATGCGGTCAGCAGTGTTTTGTCATTGAGTGCATGGAACTACAATTGGACACTAGATGGCATGAACACCACTAGGACTTTCAAGTCCACGGATGTCCAGCTTGACTTCACCCTCAATACGTCTTGTCTTTTATTGTAGGTAACTGCTATACAGCTATTACTACTAGCTCTTGTAAGAGCTTTTCTACTTGGATGACTACTCGGAATGCGGTAACATCCCTCATACGCAGGAGAAAAACGTCTCTGGCGGTGGAAACCACTCTACTCTTTGGGGTGACCGCTACATTTGGTGGCAGTGGTGGGATTGTCCTTTCTTCCCAGAGGAAGTGCTACACTAATGGAGAGTCAGTTTGAGAAGCTGAAACGATTGACCCTAAAGGATCTAAAGGAAAGACATGGCTAGTAACCGACCACGACAGGAATTAATAGCGGAACTGGTTGAATTGGGCCGAACAGCTGCAATGGTTGAAACGACTCTACCGAACGACAAAGTAGACGAAACTCTGCGGGCCGTTCGACTAAGGTTGGCGCTCTGTGGACCAAATCCATCCGAAGAGCTGATTACCCAAGTCTTAAATGCAGTGGAAGCAGAGGCTAGGAACACCAACTACGGCTAGCCGCAGCTCAATGACCCATTGCCTGAATTCGTTATTGACTAAACTCCCAGGCGAACGGAAAAAGGTACAGTTCACAGCATTCAAGCTGTTCCAGGAAACAGACGGGGAGATCAATGGATATTTAGCCGATTTTGAATGGCAATGTGCACTACACCAGGTACCCTCTGAGGAATGGGTTACCATTTTATCTGGTAAATTGTCCGGTAAAGCCGCCGAAGCCTTCCGGGCTATCCCTGATAAGGACATCAAATATTATCCTGCAGTTAAAAAGGCTTTAATTTTCTGTCATGCAGTGACTCCAGTAGCATTCCAGCAATGATTTTGGGAATCAAAGAAGAAGGGGGGACTCCTATTTGGAGTGGGCATGCAGTCTACACCGTACTGCCTCCCATTGGGTAGCGGTTTGCCAAGCAGAAACGGGGGAAGAGGTTCTACAACTGTTTGTTTTGAAACATTTCCTGAATTCATTACAACCTGAACTAAGAGAGTGGGTACGTGACCGAAGACCTATCACCTTGCTGCTTGTCTGGCAGATGAGTACACTGACACCAGGCGCCAGGAACAGACAACTCTGCAACCTCGCCTGGAACAGACAACTATGTGACCCCCTCCTCGACCAGAGTTCAGGGCTCCAGTTCCTCCAGGTCCCTCACGCTATTCAGGACCTCCTTGGTCCCAGCAGAACCAACAGAGGATTAAGTGCCATCGCTGCGACCAATGGGGCCATGTCCACAGCAATTGTCCCCTCGAACCACCAGACCAACCTGGGGGTGACCACTGCTTGGAAGCGGAGGCCAGATCTGAGGAATATCTAGAACTACTATATGAGGCTGATCCTGTGCAAACAACCACCCAGGATAACAGACAGTAACACCAGCAAGAGGTCTTAGTCAACGAGCAGTCGGCCCAGGGTCTACGAGATACCGGTGCTACTTTAAAGGATCACTATAGGGTTAGGAACACAAACAAGTAGTCCTGACCCTATAGTGTTAAAACAACCATCTAGCCCCCCTGGGCCCCTCATGCCTCAATAAATATAGTAAAAATCTTACGGTATTCAAGCCTGAAGCTGCTGGCTCTGCCACTGTCTGCCTCAGAAAAACAAGCTGTCTACTGACATCAGCAGAAGTGGTAGCCTGATCCAATCACAATACTCCATAGGATTGGCTGAGACTGACAAAGAGGCAGATCAGGGGCAGAGTCAGCATGATTCAAACACAGCCCTGGCCAATCAGCATCTCCTCATAGAGATTAATTGAATCAATTAATCTCTATGAGGAAAGTTCAGTGTCTGCATACTAAATGTTTGGATGCATTTTAGGCAGCCATGACTCAGGAAGGATCTCTGAAAAGACAGTGTTTACAGCAAAAAGCTTGAAGGTAATAATTCTACTCATCAGATCAAATTCAATAATCTGTAGTTGTTCTGGTGATTATAGTGTCCCTTTAACCTTATTACAACGGCACCTAGTAAACAACAACAACCAGCAATGGGGATTAGAGGGTGAGCAGTATATCTGGGAACAAGGTAGGCTGTAAAGGGTGTCCGAAACCCATAGCGCAGGAATTGCCCCCTCGCAGAAGCGCCAATTGGAAGTACCAGTTGGAGCTCCTTCGAATCATGCATGATATCCCTTTAGCATAACACCTGGGAGTTTCTTGCACATCCCATTGGGTAACCCAACACTTCTTTTGGCCGGGGGTCTCTAAGGATGTGCGACACTCCTGCAGGACCTGCGACGTCTGTCAGAGGGTAGGGAAGAGAGGGGATCATCCCGAGGCTCGACTGTTGCCCATGCCGATCATTGAAGAATGTTCTATCTAGCAGGATAGCAGTTGACCTGGTGGGACCCCTAAATCGGCCTGGATATCTGAGCCGATTTTTATGGCTCTGCGTTTGTGAGTGACTTTTCATCCATTTATTTGCACTTTACTATTTATATTGGCTATATTGCACTATTATCTGTCTGTTTATATTTTATTCCTAGAACATATTGGTCCAGGAACCATTCAAACTTTTAAACAAACAAGAAAAATACTCCACCTTAAATTGTATGTACAAGAAATGTTAAGACTAGGAGTCATTAAACCATCCGATAGTGTCGGGGCATCTCCAGTAGTCCTAGTGCCCGAAGAAAGATGGGACCACCCGGTTCTGCATGGACTATCGGCGGTTGAATGACAGGACAGTGAAGGATGCCTACCTGATGCCCTGAGTAGATGAGCTGTTAGACGGTATCTGACCACCATTGACCTCTGCCAGGGTTATTGGCAGATCCCTCTGGCCGAGGAAGCTATACCCAAGTCGGCCGTTGTCACCCCGTTTGGCTTGTTCCAATTTAAGGTCATGCCATTCGAGATAAAAAACACCCCAGCCACTTTTCAGCGCTTGGTGGATAGACTCCTCGATGGCTTCCAGGATTTTGCTTGTGCGTACCTGGATTACATTGTGATCTCTAACGAGTCCTGGGAGGAGCACTTAAGGCATGTAGGGACAGTGCTGGATCAGATTCAGGTCGCCAGCCTGACCGTGAAGCCAGACAAATGCCATCTAAGCATGGCAAAAGTCCAGTATTCGAGACAGAGAGTGTGGGAAGCAGCGACCAGAGCCAGCTCAGATTGAAGCAGTCGCTAACTGGCCCACACCATGCACCAAGACCCAAGTCCTGGCCTTCCTAGGGACAGCTGGGTATTATAGATGGTTTGTACCAGACTATAGTGCCATAGCCAAACTCTTGACTGAACTTACAAAAAAAAAACCTACCCAGATAAGTTCTGTGATCTCCCGCCTGTGAAAATGCCTTTCAAGCTTTAAAAGATGCCCTAGTACATGCCCCTGTCTTGGCTGCCCCAGTCCCTAACAAACGTTTTATCGTCCATACTGATGCTTCCATGTTCGGACTGGGGGCAGTTGTAAGCCAAGTTGCAGAAGATGGAGGAGAGCACCCTATCACTTACATCAGCCGAAAACTATTACCCAGCGAAGTGAGTTACACGGCAGTGATGAAAGAGTGTTTGGCTTTGGTGTGGGCCTTGAAAAAACTTACCCCGTACTTATACAAGCCGTTGGTGTGGCTTAACCGGGTCGCAGGAGACAATGGGCGACTACTGAGATGGAGCTTGGCACTTCAACCCTATAACTTTACCATACAGTACCGACCCGGTAAGCTAAATGGCAATGCTGTCGGGTTGTCCTGACAGACAGAAGTCAGTTCATAACCCATAGTCAGGACACCCTACGGTTGACCCGAAAAGGGTCAAACCAGGTCTGCCAGAGTGTCCCACAAGGAGAGAGCATTGTCACAGACCCTCTGTTCCTGGATTTGTAAAGTTATGTTACCCTTTCGCCTATCCGTTTGACCAAATAGCTATGCCCTATATCACCATTGTCCGTTCAACTGATTAAAGAACTACCGAATAACCGACCACCCAGATGCCGAGTGTGGCTCTTTTAACTTTATTAACCCCTCCTAATGCCTATAAAACCACAAACACCCCAACGTTCTAAGCAGTCGACTGTGTGGTTAGTGTTCATATGCCCGAACACTTGGAATACGAATGCGGCCAGCGTAGGCCATCTTGGAATACGAATGCGGCCAGCGGTGTTTTGTCATTGAGTGCATGGAACTGGAATCAGACACTCAACAGCACGAACACCGCTAAGACTTCCATGTCCCCGGATGTTCGGCGTTATACGCACGAAAAGGACGGCGTTCGGTAATAACATCTCCCGAACCACTAGACTATGAGAACGGATGCACGAACAGTTATTTTCCCTATATACAGTAGTTTGGAACTCCTGAAAGAGACCGGTCGCACAGCAGGATTCCATGGAATTATTCTGGGCAGGAGCCTCGTGTGCGGTCGGTCAGAAGTAAGACCTCCATAGAAACCCCCGAACCCCTGAACCGATCTGGGTGATTTTCGAATATGTTGCTCCTCCAGATCTGGGCTATCAGGGGATATGCTTTTTGTGGGGATATTATGTGTTGTGGGGTACTTTCAGATTGTAAATAATTAAGTTAATTAAGTTAAAAACAGTAGTTGACTCAATTATCTTCCATGCAGATGTCTTGTATGGGAGTGTCACACTGTATAACTCTGTTATTATTGGTTGATAATTTTGTATCACTGTCCCCAACAAGGTCCACATGGGTGTATCTCTTGGATGGGGACTTGCATAAAAGGCCAAGGAGGCTACCATTAAAACAAATTGACTTCACCCTCAATACAAATTCTTGTCTCTTATTGTAGGGAACTGCTGTACAGCTATCTCTACTAGCTCTTGTAAGAGCTTCTCTACTTAGATTGACTACTTGGAATGTGGTAACACCCCTCATACTCGGGAGAAGGACGTCTCTGGCGGTGGAAACCCCTCTACTCTTTGGGGTGACCGCTACAATACTTAACACCTGATAGCTAAAGATTTTTATTGTGACACAATGAAAACAAAGATTTTCTTACTAGGGCCTCGATTTATTAAGCTTTCTAAATGATTCGATAGTGTTGGGAACAGTAACAGATGATTTATCTATAAAAATTCGCAAAGACGTTAATGGTGACTTCTATCGATAAATCACTTGGAAACTTTTCTAACAGTATTGAATCATTTGGAAAGCTTATTAAATCGAGGCCTATATGTTTAAAATACTAACACATTTGACAGTGTAAATACAACATAACATACATTAATCTTGTTTTATTCTATTAATCTGAGACCTGCACATCATTTAGTATTCTGCATTGATACCAATGTTACTTTATTCTAAGCATATGCTGCAGAAATGACTAAATAATCTGTTCTTTTTCCGTTAAGGTGATTAAGGCCTATAGTGGCAACAGGGGGGCAATTTTTTATGATCTAACAGTTAGAGGTCATTTTGATGACTATTTTAGAAATCACTTGAAATGTGAATTTATTATCTGACTCGTAATCAATTCAGTACAACGTGTGAATGACTCTTGAATTTAATTCTTGTTACTATTGTATTTTAAAAGAC